TGTGTGTGCACACATTTGTACGTAATTAATTTGTGGCTAACAGGCGAGAGATTTCTCCATATCCAAACAGAACATTTTCGGGGCCAAAATCGACGAACCGTATCCAAGAGAGCCACCAAAAGCCAACAAACTGCGGCCGCAATTAATTTTTCGTGCAAATTTAACACGCAAATCGCGTAAATAATCAAAAATTAGATCACAACAGCTGCTGGTTGTGCAGTGCCATACACTGCCACGCCCCCTTGCCCCATTCGCTCACTGCCATCCTGCTGCTACAGCAAAGCCCCCGCACTGACAGTGATTGCGGCGAGTTGTCAGGGTTTGCTTAGAGCTCGTGCGGCGTGGCCCGTTCTACAGTCATGAAACAATAATGTCCACAAATTGACGCCACAAGCTGTTGGTTCAATGAGAGCATACACACACACACACACCCATGCACACACACACGCACACATTGGCTAGCTGCGTCTGTTGCACTTCCTCTGTGGCGCCATATTGAATTTGTGCCCGGTGCCTAGTCTCTGTGCTCGAGGGCCTCATTTCTGCGTCCTGTTTTTATTTGCCTGCTTGTTTTCTGCTGGTTAGCTGGCTGATTTTCAAACTAAAGCTGACGTTGACGCTGGTGCTGACGCTGGAGCTGGAGCTGGCGCTGTAGCCTCGCATGTTGCTAACGAAAATACAAGCAAACATATTGCCTGCCTCGACCAGCCTGCCTCGGCTGCCTGCCTATTCCGGTGGCAAGTGCTGCTCTGGCCTGGCCCACGGCTCGGCTACTTGTTGTTTAAAATGCATTGTGGCTCCGTTTCCAGTCTGGTGTTGCGTTTCGCTTCGGTATTTTTTGTTTTTTGGTTTTTTGCTGTGCAATTTTCAATGCATTTTTAAGTCTCGCATATTGGGCAGCGCTAAAGTCAAAGCTTCAAACATTGTGATGCTGTTGATCTACTTGCTATTTGCTCTACATCCAAATTGTGTGGTTCGAGTCGTATACGTAATATTTGCGTTGACTAAATAACTAACTTTTCGTTAGAAAATTTGTGGCTTTTTTTATTTTAAAGCCACAAAAAATGGATTAATTTTAATAATAACATAAGTTGATTTGAATAAAATGTTGACTAAAGCTTGCCCTGCAGGCAGACTACAAAGGCTTGTAAATAAAGCAATTTTATACTAACATTGTTTGCAGTTAAGCGAATCAGTTGATTTTGCGTCTTGTATAAAAAACAAAAAATTAAATATATTTAAAATAATATTATTAAATTTAATATTTTATACCCTGCAGAAAAAAACAGCCTATTTATCATTAACAAATTTAAGAATCATAAAAAATTAGGTAAATAAAAACTGAGTTAAATGAAATGTAAAAAATATATATATATATATTAAAGAAGAATTTCGACTAATATATAACCTAAGAACCGTAGGAAAAACATTTTTATAAACAATTTTAACGAACATTAAAATTAAAGAAAAATAAGTGTAAAATTTAAATGATAATTAAGAATTTTATGAATTTAGTTAGTTATTTAATATAAAAAAAAAGGTTGTCTAAGGATCATAAATGATCCGAATGAAACATCTTAGTAATAAATATATATTTTAATTTATAAATATTTTAGCTAACTAAGTATTAAGGAAGTTTTCAAACACTACCCTCTAATACTTGAAAAAAAAAAATAATTTTAATATATATTTATAAATACTTACAAATAAACTAGAAATTAAACTGCATTCGGCTTACGAGAAAAATCTTTCTCACTCTGTGAGTCAGATTATGCCTGCATCATAGGTATGGTATCTTTTGTTCACATACCTAATCCATTTTAATTAATTAAATATACATATATAAATATAAATTATAAGAGAATATTTAAATCCTTTTAGGCATATACTCCAAAAGTTTCAAATTAAAAATAAAAATAATAATAATAAAAATAATATAAACTTTCAGTAAACAAATAAAAATGATTTTCTATTTAACCGCAGCACTTCCACTTAATTTCCAGGCTCCAGTGACAGTTCACTTTATTTTCTGTCCAAATGCTCGACTCGAACTTTCAACCAATTAGCACAATAATAGTTAGAAATGTTTCATAAAACTTGCATGCCAGACTATAAATAACAATTAAAATTTCATACTGTATGCATAACACAATAAAACAATTTGCGGTTTTTTTGTGAAACATATTTTGCGAATGCAACAGAGATGCATGTGCGCAAAATATCACAAAATGCGGTTCAATAACTAAAAACAAAAGCAACAACAACAAGTAAACATAATCAATTCACGAAAAAAGCAAATGGCAATGCAAATTGCATCTAACCAACTGCCTGATACTTGTCATGGTTACACATATATATATATTCAGTTTTGTTTAAATTAAATGTTGACGACTTATAGTTTTATCTTAAATAGAATAACAGAGATAAGATTGCATACAATTTGTGCGATTTAAAAACAAAAATTAAAATTAAATAAATAAAATATTATATAATAAAATATATGTATATAAAAAATATTAATAGTTTAATAATGAAAATAAAACAAAACACTGGGAGGAGATTACATCTATCGCTGATTCTATTATATAATTTAATTTTGCATATCATGAGCAGGGCCTGATATTGTTATAGCATGCTCTTATTAGAACAATATAGAATACTCTTATAAGTCTTGCGAATTATTTATTAACTCTATACTGCATTGATGGATTATTGATGGAATGTGATCTGAATTATCTATTATTATTATTCTTGTCTTCTCTTTTTCTATTGACAGCATGATTGTTAAATATCGATATCATTACAGTTAAAATATCTGTAGGTAACTATAATGCCCCTCCAATTCCTATTTGCCTAATACAAATTTTATATTGTTTTACACATTTTTGACCTTTGCGAGAAACCGATATACTCAATTTACTCCTTGAACGAGCAAAAAAAGGTGAAAAATCGTCCAAGTTTGAGGTTAACCCAGCTAAAGCAAGTCGGAAACAGTTCACTAGCTCTCGCTCTCATGCTGTCTCTCTTTCACTTTCTCTTTTTCAATCGTCGTCTCCCACTCACGCACTACCTACAAAGTGTTTTTCTCCCCTTTTTTTATTGGTGCCTCATGTTTATGTTGTCAGCCTGTTGTTGTTCTTGTTGTTGTTTTTTTTTTTTTTTTTTTTGTATTTTCTTCTCTTTTTTTTTTGTCGTGTAATCGAGTCAATTGTTTCCGCTTCGACGATGAGGCAATCGACTGCGTCTGTTTTTATGGGTTCGGGCTTTGGTTTGGGCTTGGTTTTTGCGTTTGTGTTTCCTTATTGTTGCTGTTGTTGTTTTATGGTGTTGATATTGGCTACATCCGTTTAGAGAGGGAAAAAAGTTTTCGTCTATTTTTTTTTTTTTTTTTTTTTGTTTTGTTTTTGTGCTTGTGGGCGTTTTTGACATGGGCTAATAAGCTTGTTTTCGGTCTGTAATTTTTTGACAGTGATGCGAAACACTTGTATTGCAAAACCAGATTGCTCATTTAATGGGCTTTTAGTTTGGCTCTGTGCAAGGGCAAGGGCATTTAAGCGGAAAAGTTCTTCGAAATAGGGTCTATGATGTATGTAAATCAGAAAATCATGTTTATAAAAACTATAATCAACATAATTAATTGCATATCATAAAACTAGTCCACTTATTTACATGTATATAGCTACATATTTTTTAAGTTCTGCTATAATTTTTTATAAATTATTATTCGTTATTATATACATATGCAGCTCTTCAATTGAATATATGTATAATTATTATAAGATGTACATAACTAATAACCTAATCAATTAACTTAAACTCTTAACTCTAAGCTCTATCCTTAATTATTATTTATAATGTATTTATTTTTTAAGATATATATATATATATATATTTTTTTATATATAATTTTTGTATATATTATAAAAATATTCCTAATAGAATATAATATAACTGTCTATATAAAATTTTTAAATTTTTCACATTCTTCAAAGACAATAACCAAAAATCTATTCCTTTTAATCCACAAGCACATATATCAAGGACAATTTATAATTTAAGCAATACAATAATATGCTTGACTTCAATTTCATTTTATTTACACCATTCTAACTATTATGACTTGATTCAAAATCTACCCAAAATTTAAGGCCCACTCATTAAGATTCCTCTTTGGCCACTTGGCGCGTCTTTTGTTGGCACTTGGACGTTAACTGGGCGACATAATTAACCCTTATTTGCGCACTTTATGGCCCGCACCATAAAATGGCAATTTAAATTACAAAGCACAAAGTAAAGGAGTTTTTTGGCCATTTGGTAAATGTTGTACAATTTGTTTATAGGCATCGAATGCGGATTGAGCAAGGCGCCAAATTGGCAGACGAAGAAAGAGAAGAAGAAGAGAGACAAACATAAAAGTCGAAGCTCAGCTGAGCATCGTCTTTAAGGCAAATTGTGGTACGTTGTGGCCCTTAAAGCAGCTTACAACTTGAACGCATTGTGGACAAGCCGCTTAACTTGCATAATCCAAATATCTGTCCAACAACGCACTGCAAGCTCTTGACCCCTTTCCGATCCCAATTTTGTTGTTCTTGTTGTTTTTTTTTTTTTTTTTTTTTTTTTTGGCATTTTTGTAGGTAGTTCCCAAACGGCCATCAAAGTTGAATGCGATTGCGTGTCTCATGCGGGCAGCGGTCATCATCGAGTGTAGAGCGTAGAATTGCTTCTTAGGTCATAAAATTTCAATAGCTAGGGGTACGAGTGTGGCCGGCCAGCCCCGATAGAGCTTTTAAATTTCACAGCGTCTAGGGTGCACTGACATTGTCTGCTATGAAATTGAAACTGGTCGAGCAATAAACCGGTTTAGGCTTTTATGGACCTTCGTTAAAGCTGCGGTCCGTGCCACCCTTAAAGCGCTTAATTTTTCAATTTTCTACAAAAATTCTCAAGTTGTTAAGTCCATCAGAGCATATATATGTGAAAATGTATTCTGATCTCACCACAACCTTGCGCTGTGGCAATATCGCCAACAATGAGGTGACAACCGAGTTGCGATTATTGCTAGTTGAAAACTTTAACCAATAACTCGCCCTCTGTGAGCCACGCCCACACTGAGGCAATTTTTTTGATGACTCGAAAGGGTCGATTATGAAATAAATATACCACCAAAACAACATAAATCCATTTTGCATTTACACCTGCTTAAGAATATATGTATATAGTTAATGATATTTCCCAAGCAGCTCAACATAATTTTTAAACTCTAAATTTTCATTCTCAAGCCCTTCTAAAAATAAAATGCTATTAAGATTTGAAATATATTTTCTACTAATATTTTTGTCAGAAAATCTAGTAATATGATTTTCTAGTAGCATTTTTTATTTACTTAATCTATATATGTTTTACGTGTTGTTTATATACGGATATATGAAAATATATCCTGCGGCTATTCACTTTGATTGACTTTTTTTAATGCCACATATATTATACCTGTCACTAAATATAATCATTTTAAAAACAAAAACAAAAAGAAAAAGAATAATAAAAAAAACTTTTATTGATATGAAAATATCTAATCTATTTTTATCGTTTTCATTAATTTAGTCTTCATTTCCATAATCATCAATTTCATTATCATTATTATTCGAATTAATTGGATTCCATTTCAGCGCTTTTAGTACTAAAAAAAAAAAAAAAGTAATAAAAAAAATAAATGAATTAAAGCAAACCCCTGAACTACACTTCGCAAAAGAAATATTCATAGTTGTAAGATCAGAAGCGTTTTTCTGTCTAGCATGAGTTCAGAGTATGGGGATGCTGTTCTAACTAAACAAATGAGCCGTATATGAAATTCAGCGCATCGTAGGTGCAACGTTTATTCGTAGAGTTCTTGATATACACTAAAAGTACAAACGTATGAGCAAGCGCAGCTTGCTTAGAGCTAGGCGAATTAATGCAAGTAATAAGAAATCACCACGCAAGAGAGATAGAGCAATTAGGGTGAACCCAAATGTAAAAATATAGGTATAAAATTCAAGTTAACAATAAGATAAGTGAATTTGGCCCAACAATAGTATAACCATATAAAAATTCATAGTTTCCATATTTATAAATTTAAAGACTCCCAGTTCAATTCAAAAATTTAAAATTCACAGTTCTTAATAATATTTTATTATATTTTAGCAATTACAAATGCTATTTGTATGAATGTTGCAAGCGTTCAGTGCTCTCTACTCCGATCTATTTTTCGATTTTTTCTTCTTTTTCACGCTGGCCGTGCTGGACAAGGGTCCCAGAGATGAGTAGCCCGTCGACGTTGAGTCGCGACTCTCGCGATATGTGCGCAAGGGCTTGCGATTCAGCCAAACACGCAAGAGAAAGTTCAGTTCACCCTTCAAGGCCACCATGGGCTTTATCTGTAGAGAAGAGAATATCATGAGTCTTTATGTGTCTTTGATTATTATCTATCTAACCCTTTGTTTAAACGCAATGCGATGCACGTGCCACAAGAACTCCCCGATGCCGATAACAAAGGAGATGAGCACGCCCACGATGAGCACCACGAACAGACCGCCCACAGCATCCATATCGAACTGGCCATCGTCGTTGACCGTTCCGCCAGAATCACACGTCGTTTCGTTATTATTGAACCACTTGCTCTTCAGATTATAGAGAACACCGCGCTCGCTCAGCTTCAATATGCCCACACTAAGATTCGATCGGAAGTGGGCATCTAAGGAGATCACTTTTCAATTAAAGATCTGGCTGAAATTCTATCTAGATTCTCTCCACTCACTCAATGGCACCGCAATGCCGTAGTGCTTCTCTCCGAAACTCTCACCGATCTGTGTGAGCTCACAATTCCGTTGCACGTGGTACTGCAGATTGGTGGTCTCCATGAGGAAGGCGTAAGTGCCCCGGCTCACCTTCACACGATCCACGCCCTCCTCGTTGTTCTTGGTGAAGGCATCCGGCTTCAAGGACAACATCTTATTCCATGCCATACGATTTTCGGTATCGTTCGATTCGGAGAAATAAACTGATGTGGCGCCGCCGCGTATCGTCCCAAACTTTACTTTATTCTGATCGATCAGATCGTGCAACGAGGCTATATTTCCCGTCATCTTCGAGGACGTAATAAAGGCAGCCAAACTGGCAATGTAAGTTTGCGAAATGAGCAGCGCAAAAATCCACCAGAAGGCAGTCAGTAGACGCATGGGAAGTCCTCTGTAACGCAGAAGCAAATAATTATAATTGAATATAAAAAACAAAAATCAATAAATTTCACATATAAAGGAAATGTATTACAAATAAAAATAAAATAAAATAAAATAAATACAGAAAATGTATTAATTAAAACTCATATGAGTTTTAAAGTTGCAAACAAATTAAAATATTGATAAAATAAAAAAACACATTAATTAATTATTGATAAAACAAAATAAAAATAAAATTAAAATAACAAATAAATTTATTAAATATAATAAATATAAAAACTAAATATAAAATTGCAAGTAATCCAAATATTAAAGTAAAACTAAACTCTAAAATTTAATTCTTAAAAAAAAATAAAATACATATTAACTATTATTAATATAAATAAATAATATACGAATAGTAATAAAATTTAAAAATTAAAAGATCAATAAATAATAAAATAAAACTAAACAAAATTCATTATTTAAAAAATTAAAAATTCTAAAAATTTTAAGTATTAAAGTATCATTGAAATAAAAATGTTAATAAAAAATAAATTAAAATGTAAATAAATAAAAACAATTTAAAATGAAATGAACAAGAATTATAATAATATTAATAAAATTGATCAACCCACCTGGGCAACAGATCACAGCCCTGATTGAGTATGGAGCCCAGCACCAGCCACATGGTGTTGTGCAAATGCCAGATGTTTTCACGCTCCTGCTCACGCCGCTCATTTACCACAGGCGCCTCCCATTCGCAGGGATCCATGCGACCGGCCAATATCAGGGCCATTGCCGTTACCAGCATGGCAACCATCACGTAGAGCCAAACGTCCACACCGTAGGGATTGAGAAAGCCATAAATATCGGCCTGGGCCGGAGGCTGCTTATAAGACAAAATGCTAATGCCCAGCTGCATAAATGGCACCGTAAAGTCCACCACCGTGCGACGGGCCTGAGTAATGGTCAAATCACAGATGCCAATCTGTGCATTCTGTGCGGATTCGAGAGTCGAGAGTGATTAGTGACTAGACATTGATTTAAATGTTAATTCTCATTCGAGTGCACACACTCACATTGTCAATTAGCTGCCTGATTATGCCATCCCATTCATCGGTGGCCGCATCGTAGCTGCCGTATTTGTTATCCCTCACCGGTTCGAAAACGAAATCAAATTTGCATTCCCTTGCCAGCTCGTAGATCAAGTCGACCGCATAGCCCTCGAAACGTTCATTGCCCTCGAAGTGCACGCCTTCCGGCTCCTTACTTTTGAGATGTGCACATTCATTTAATATTCAAATCTAATAATGAAGTCATACGAACCGCCAGCTGAAATAGGGCTTGCCCACTCGAGTGGCCACTGTATATACGACGGGCTTACGCGAGAAATCCTCTTTGTTCTCCAGGCGTCGCTGTTTCATCGCTTGCGTCGAATTCTCCCGGATCGTCTCGTAGTCGACCAGCTGAAAGTCTTTGTTCCAGATGTGCGTCACCCAATCAATGATCGGATTGTAGACCTCCAGGTTAAAGTCTTCGCGTTGCCCATCTGGCGTCAACTGCAATCGCTGGGTTTTATAGGGCGGCTTTACTTGCTTCGGTGTAAGCTACAAAATGGAGTTTTAGACGTATAAATAAAATTAATACAAATTATTTAAAATGAGTATAAAAATTATACAAAGTATATAATTAAATATAAATAGTTAAAAAAAAATACATTAAATTAAATCGAAATAAAAAAAAACTCAAATCTATACAAAAATTCAAATTAAACTTAAGTAAATCGAAAATGAAATTAATGAAACTACGTTTAAATAATTACTAAAAATATAAAAATACAAATAAAATAAAATAAATACATCTTATATACATTGTACTTTTTTATAAATTAAAATGTAAGCAAAATTCATTTTTTTTATAATTTTAATTTATAATAAAGTAAAATAATTTAATCATTCAAAAAAACTTTAACATAATAGTAAAAACCAAAATTTTAAATATTAATATAATTATTAATTCAAATATACAATAAAACAAAGTCGATTATAACGAAGCTCAAAAGATGTTTCATCTCTTACCTCTTTCATCTGCTGCACTAAGAGCGGTCCTGGCTGCCAAAAGCCACGCCCACAGCTGAACTGTGGCGTATAGAAACCAGGTTTCTGACTCAATTGCAGTACAGCATTGTAGAAGAGGACGACGGCATCATAGACAAGTTGAGAGCTCAACGAGGAGAACTATTAAGAAATGGTATAACCTTAATAAAAATCCCTCATTTTTATTCAAATGTACTCAAGTATACTATGATCATACCCGATTATCAACTTCATAATCAAAAACATCAGTTTCATCATGAACAGGAGGTGGAACGTAGGAACGAATTCGAACAGCTTTGACGGAAACTGAGAATTCACGTGAGTAAAACTGATCGATGCGACTCGTGTGCGTATTCAAGTCGGTGAGAAAGAGATTCTGAAGAAAAGTATATAGAGAATATAACGAACTCTTTATCTTATCAAATCAATTTACTCACATTAAGAGAGCCCGTCATATTGAAACCGATCGAGGCATTGATCACGTCCACCAATATATCGGGAGGACAATCGAGTAGCACGAATTTCTCACGCGCATTGCTGATGCGTTTCCAAAGTATGCGATAATCATCGCCACGCTGAAACTCCTGCAGCTTAATGCCGGTTTTATGCAGCTGCTTCCAGGCGAAAATGTGCTGCAATCGTGCGAGATCTAAAGTTCAAATTATATTAATTATGATGAGCGAATAAAGTAAATACAAAATTTAGATAAAAATGAAAATAGCATAAATATTAATAGAGCTTAAGTTAAAAATTTATAAGATGAAAAAAAATCAGTAGAATATAAATATTAAATTTAACTTGAGTATTATATTAAATAAAAATATTAAATAAGTATAAAAATAATATAAATACAAATATTGTTGGAAATTGATTCTTTTTAATCAAAATAAAATAAAAATATTTTAACAATATTTTAGCAGAACAAAGTTAAAAACTAATAAATAAATAAAATGAAATGAATGAAAATGAAATGAAAAAGAATTCATAAATCTTGCATATTGGACTTGATGTATCTTAGAGTAATATTGCATATTACTTTTTTTTTATTTTTTTTTTTAATAAAATATTTATTTATTATTATTATTTTATTTTAATTTATTATAAAGTTGTCTGTGCTTGATTTCAAATCGAATTTACTTACGCGTGTCTCGCTCATAGGCAATCGTGAATGATTTCCAATCGAATTCCTTGCTGCGCAATATATCCGATAGAGCTGTCGATATAATCAGCTCTGAGGGCGCCACATTGATGGTCAGCTGATGATTGAGACGCTCCCGCGCTGATTGCTGCGGATGCCAGTCGAATTGCAGATGCGGAATGCCCGTCATGTTGCACAGAACCTCAACGATATCTGCAAAACACATACACACACACACAGATACAGATCGATTTGATCTAAAAAATGTATATTTTTGTATAGAATGACTTGGCGAACTAACAAAACACACAATGAAAGTGCCGAGCAAAACAACGCAATGAAATATAAACGAATCGCATTTGCCTGGCAACAGGCCAATAAACCACTCATAAGTATCTCATTTGTATATACACTGAACGCATATATATATATATGTATATATAGTAGATATATCTGGCGAGCCGTGTCGTTTATTTACCGCAAAAATATTTGTTTTGGCCAATTTGATGCGAAACATCAAGAATCATTAACGAGGTTAGTGGCATAAATTGCTCTCTCTCTCTCTCTCTCTCTCTCTCTCTCTCTCACACACACTCACACTCACTCACTCACTCACTCTTTCTCTCTCTCTCATCTCTCTCTCTCTCTCTCTCTCTCTCTGTTTCTTTCTATGACACTCCTCCACTCCCTCTCTCTCTCCCTCGCTCACACTTTCTTTTTATATAAAAACACATGTGATTTGTTTAATCTCTGAGAACTACAACAACCTGAACAACAAACACAATAGGCAGTCCTCCTGCCAGACATAGTTTTATGACGTTGATTTTTGTTTAAAAATAATTGAAACTTTTAGCCGCGCTGCCAGAGCACATGAATGGTTAAGTAAGTTGACTTACCGCTGGTTGTCTTTGAACTTGGTCCCAAAATAGCAGCAACACCATTGCCAATCATATCGCAGGCTATAAAAAATTATCGATCATTGAATATTTCAAGTATTGTTTATAATAAAACTCACATAAATCCTGCAGCACGATGCTATCATCGATAGTCACATAGTGCTTGATTGTTTCCAATTGCAGTTCGGGCATCAAAGCATTTACTTCCTCCACAACCGCATCGAAGGCCTCAGCCAAAGCCATTTCGGAATCAAAGAAAATTGCGCCTTTATTATGAATATGAAATACATATAGAAATATATATAGTATATATATTCAAAATGTAAAAAAAATTATTAATATAAAGTTGAAATCTTTATAGTTTCCCAAATATATTTTATGCAAACACAGAATAATTCAATTTTTTTGTCTAGTCGAAGTTTATATACAAAGGCAATTTAAAAGCTTTTTATAGGCTTTATATGTAAGTCGATAGACTAAATAATGTAAAGTTAATTCAACTTTATTGTACTAGGCATGAATACAGTTATATATTTCTTCTACTATATATGCAGCTCTATAGAAATAATGTATGAAAAGCTAGGTATACTATATTTAACTAAGATTTTTTCCTTTTTATTAACAATTAATTTACTTAATTACACAAATTTTTGGTTAAATTAAATTTATTTACTTAATAAAATTAATTCTACTAAGAATAAAAATCATCAATACATTTATTTTTATATTTATATTTACTAAATAATAATTCCTTCTAATTAAAATGAACATCTGATTGATAGAAAACTTTCTAACAACATTTATTATCATTTAAATATAGGTAAAAGAATAGGGTGATAAAATTATTCTTGTAAGAGTTAAAAAAAAAAGATGTTTATAATTTCTCAAAAACATATATATACATTTTTTTTTTTTTTTTTTTTTTTTTGCTAAAAATTTACATATGAAAACTGAGAAGAAGAAGAATGCAAAATAAACAAAATCAGATGAAAGTTTACAACTTTTTGGGAATATCTGTATAAATATTTATATGAGTTTTTTTGGTTTTGCAATTTGTCTTAGAATATAATTTTAATTTTATATTTTTATATTCATATTATTATAAATAAGGTTTACCAATTTTAATGACCAAGACATCGCCATTATTTGCCGCGCTGCCCAAGACGAGGGCGGCCAAAGCCAGGAACTTTAGTAGAAACATATTTATATAGCTAAACTCAAATGAGCATTACTACATTTACATTATTAATTTATTTTTTATATATTTTTTATTATGTCAAATTTATATGTTTATAGTTAACATTTTGATTTTTATATAATCCAATGCACAAAAAACACTTCACAATTCACTTTATTCACATGCATACACATTGATACATATGAATATGTATCACTATATATGTATAAATATATGTATATCACATATAAAAACAAAACGAGTGTAAAAAATATTCCATGAAATGACGACAGCACCAAATGGAAGCCAATCGATGCCAAATGGGCTCTGGTCGGAGGCGCTGCTCGCGAGGCACTGAGCCAGCTAAAAATTTTAAGAAATCTTTCGAACACATTTTGTTTTGTTTTTGGAAAACGGCAAACAACGAAATGCGAGTGCTGCTTATTTTAGCAGACATTTCTTGGTTGGGAGAGAGAGCCATTTGTTTTATGGACAAGTCAACCAAATTGGTGGACCTAATATGCTTTCTAGGCCACACAGACTTTGGCATCAGCTGCTGCCCACTGGAAATGAGACAGCTGAGATATGAAAATCTAGCGTGTCGATAGCCCACGCAGCACGCTGTGTAGGGTGTAGCGGCATCTCAACAACAACAACAAAGAGAAAAGAAAAACAACAAAAAATGGTGGGCGGTAAAAAATCTATATAGAATTTCTATATACATATACTGCATGAAGGAACCAGACAATAATTACAAAATATCTTAGCTAAAATTTATCTCATTTTCGATTAAAATTTTACTTTTATTCAACAGATTTGCAAATTGGTTTAATGATAACTAAATGGTCTAGACTTATTGAACTAACTGTTCGTTTTGCTGCGTGTTTTCTCCTTGGAACTGCGCCGAGATGCTGAGGATCGACGTGAGGATTTATCACCTCCACTGCTGCTGCTGCTCGATATGCGCATCGGTTTCTTGCGCACCCAAAACTTTAGGGCAAACATCAGTTCCGCTTTCAGTGCCTGCCAGGGCGTCACACGTTCTTCCACGGCCACGTTCTGCACGTTCCACAGAAACTCAAAGATGCCCAGGATGACGCCAGTCAGAACTCCGCCGGCCAGTACTAGAAAAACGCCACCCAACTCAATGATGGACAGCTCATCGCCGTCGACCTCGTGAAATGATTCGCATGTCACATTGTGATTCTTCCACCACTTGTTCTTCAGCTTGTACAGCTCGCCCTTCTCGCTCAGCTGCAGTATGGAAACGCTCAAGTTGGTGCGGTAGTCGGCGCCTGGAAAGATAAATATAAACTTATGAGAGTGAGTACTCAAAGAATGGGGAATTATAGGAAATATAAATAGCTGTATATAATTTAGCATGCATTAGAATCTATAATTAATTTAACAGGTGTCTTAAATATTCGGTTCTAAAATTAATTACATTGAATATTAAATTATTAAATTATGCAAGACTTGAATGAAACTGAAATTATAGATCTCAAAAAAAAGTATGAATATTAAAAACTATTTATAACTTTTGTTTAAATTATATGTATAAATTGTAAAAAAGATGTTCCTAAGAAATAATAGCAAAAATAATAAGATACAAAAATGTATTTTTTTTTCATTATGTTATAAAAAATATAATAATATACTTTACTACATATAAATAAGAACTAAATGTATTATACATATATATTCTTTTTATTTTTTGAATATATATTTTTTATAATGTATATTTTTAAATATATATATTTTTTTTGAGTTTGCCCATTTTTTTGTTTTTTTCTTTTTATATGTTTCCACATTTAATGGTTCATTCATAATAATAAATAACAAAATCAAATACACTTTTTCATTATAAACAACAAGAAAATAAAACATATAAAATAAATAAAATTAAATAATCTAATTAAAATATGATTATTTTTATTATATTTTTTCTCATTTTAAATTGTTTAAATTCATAATTTTTCATTCATTATATTTATTTTATTTAAATCATTATTTTTTTTTTTTTTTTTTTTTTTTTTTGGTATGAATAAATACCTTAAGCTGAATGTAATTTGATTTTTGCTGAGAAGTAACTGTTCTCCTGCTGTTATGAACTTGGTCTCAGCCTAAATTATTTAAAGCAAATTTGACAACCAGGTAAACTGGCAATATTATATGCATAATCTAATCAGCTAATCATATTTAAGTCATAGGCTAAAGGAATATATTTCATATAAATCAAAATCAAGCTCTCAGCTTACCCAGCGGCACGGCTAAGCCGTAATGCTTTTCACCAATCGTTCCGCCAATTTGCCGCAAGTCGCAGTTCCGTTCAATGTTATAGGTCAGGCTGGTTGTCTCCATGAGGAAGGCATAGTTGCCCTTCTCCTTGCGGACACGAGCGACGCCTTCCTTGTTGGTGCTGGTGAAGCCCGATGGATTGAAGCTCTTCATTTGATTCCAGGCACGCTGATAGTCCGTATCATTCGATTCGGAGAAGAAGAGCGAAGTGCTGCCGCCGCGCATGCTGCCAAACTTCACCTCATCCTGCTCAATCAGATCCTGCAAGCTGTTTATGCTGCTCTGCCACTTGTTGCTGGTCAAAAAGGCGGCCAAATTCGCCGTATACGTGCTGAGCATCATCAGGGCAAAGAACCACCACATGCCAGTTAGGATGCGCATGTGTGGACCCCTGGAAGATGCACACAAGTTTTTAGATCTGACTGAAATCCCTCACCAAGAGCAAATCGAACCTGGGCAGTATATCGCAGCCCTGCTGCATAATGGAGCCAACCATTAGCCAGCAGCTGTTGTTCACATTCCAGATATTCTCCAGCTCATCGGGATCAACTATAGCCGGATTTGGTGGCATCCATTCGCGATAGGAAAGCCTTGAATAATTTAGAATCAATTTTAGTTCCAGTAGCCAAAGATAAAGCACCTGGCACTCACCTGGCAATCAGCACAAAGGCTAAGGTCATCACCAGCTGCGCAAAGATCATATAGATCCAGACTTGTGGCGCAAACGGCTCCAAAAAAGCGAACGGATTCTTCTGCTCCGGCGGACTCTTGTAATGTAATATACTAATGCCCAGCTGCATGAACGGCACCGTAAAGTCCACGGCCGAACGACGCAGTTGGGTTATAGTCAAGTCACAGACGCCAATCTGAGCGTGCTATGGTATATTAATATATACATATATATAATAATAATATTATATCATAATATGAGATCTCTTAACTCGAATATTCCAGACAACTCACATGATCTATTAACTTCCTTATTATGCCATCCCATTGCTTAGTCTCGGGATTATATTTGCCATTGCCGTTCACAATCATAAACTCGTAGTCAAACTCCATGAGCTCGGATAGCTTTCTAATAAGATCCACCGCATAGCCCTCATACTTTTCCTGTCCCCTGAAATTCTCATGATCTTGCCTGTAAATATATACAGTTAATTATATACATACACTCATGGTCAAATTAATAGGTGTGACCCAAAGATTCTAGCATATTTTAGAATAATTACGGTTTGACAACATCTATCAGCACGAAATTTTTTTGTTAGGTATGGCCACACTATTTAAAAAGGAAATAGGTAAATCCCCCCAAAAAAATTTACTCGCTAAAAAGTTTTGGCTGTTATACATTCTCTACCTCAAAATCGACCTGGACACATTAATAGGTGTGTTTAACTAAACAAAAAATTATTAAAATATTAAAGTGTTTTTGAGTAAGCAAACGTAGTATTTTTATTGAATATAATTTGATTGAAGCATCAACATTTTCATTTGCAACATTTAAATAAAATTAGATGGGTCGTGGAGTTCACTGCAGTGCTGAAGAGAGAAATCTCGTTCTCAAGCTTCGTGAAGAGGGTAAAACTTATACATGCATTGCCTTACTAATGGGACGATTAGAGAACTTTGTTACAAATGCTCTAGCACCAAAAAAAGATAAAAGGAAGCCGGGTGCCCGGAGGAAAACTACCGTAAGAGAGGATTCCCAGATAGTCACCATGGCTAAAAGGGACCCTTTTAAGTCTTCGAGAGCAATTGCCATCGAAATGGGCAATGTTGTATCGGCACGAACTATTCGTCGACGGCTATTAAGCTCGAATCTACCTGGGAGAGTTGCTCGCAGGGTTCCTCTATTGCGTAAATCAAATATTCGGATGAGGCTTAATTTTTGCCCAAACTCACAAGGCCAGGTGTGGTTTAGAGGGGGAGCGTAAATGGAGAAAAATTGTCTGGAGTGATGAAACCAAAATAAAATTTATTTGAGAATGACTCAAATATAAATATTCGAAGACCTATAGGCAAAGAATTGGATCCTAGATATACAAAAAAAAGACGGTTAAGCACGGAGGAGGCGGCATAATGGTTTGGGACTGCTTTTCATGGCACGGTTTTGAATTGGACCATCGACCATTTTCATAATGGACAGATTCCTGTAAAAGGAACTTTTGAGTAGTGTTATGCTACCACATGCCCACGACAACATACCTCTAAAATAGAAATTCCAACAGGATAACCATCCTAAATAGGACTCCCCAGTAGTTAAGGATTGGTTTCATGAAAATATAATTGAAGTTTATGAGTGGCCAAGTCAGTCTCCAGATCTCAATCCAATTGAGAACCTTTGGGGACACCTGAAAAGGCAAATTTCCAAGACTACCTGCTTCAATTACACCCAATTATTGGAAAATACTCAGGAGGAATGGAGCACCGATCCTGTGGAAAGGTGTAGAAAGTTAATATCCTCTATGCCCCAAAGAATCAGCAAAGTCATTGCGAATAAAGGCGGATATACAGGGTATTAACCATACTTATCTAAATATATTCTAAATATTGTACAATATTTAAGAATTTTTAATTTTTTTTTTAATTTGCTGGGCACACCTATTAATCTGGCCAGCAAAAATTTGAGTTTTTTGTGAAGTATGCCAAAATTATACTAAAAATTATTATTTTTTAAACTTGTTTTTTGTTGTTGTTATTCTATGATGTGTCTATTTTTTAATATAAGTTGAATTTTTTAGTTTCATGAAAAAATATAGACGTTATTCCCATTTAAAAAAAAAAAAAATTTCACACCTATTAATTTGACCATGAGTGTATATCATCACTTTAGCCACTTTTACCCACTTCATCATAAAGTACGGCTCCTCATGATGCGTCACCACGGTGAAGACCTTCCGCTGCACCGAGAAATCCGGCGTAACTATCGCACTCTCCAGTTCCGGGCTTAGGCGTCTCACTTTGATGCCATTGTCCGGCGTCCACACCATCAGCGGCTCATTCACCGTAGGTTTATAGATTTCCAGATTGAAATGGGTTCGCTGGCCGAACTCGTTGATTTTCATATTCTCCGTCTTGAAGTTCGGCTCAACATCGTCCTCCGATATGGTCTTCATCTCCTGCACTATATGAGCACCCATTATCCAAGTGCTGGCGAAGCCCAGACCACAATGGCTATTGGGTGGATAAAATTGTCCCAGCGAAGCGATCACATTTCGCGCCGAGTTGGCAAAGAGCACGACAGCATCGTAGATGAGTATGGGCAGCATCATTTGACTTCCAAGAATTTTCTAGAATAGAAACAACAGTTGTTAATCGCATCTGATATTTCAGCTCTCAGCCCCTACTTACATCAACTGGAGTTAGGCGCGTCTTCTTGCGCGCATAGGGATTGGGATCGACAATTTTCAACCGCACCGAGGTTATATTCGCCTTGAAGTCCTCATTGTAAATGTCTTTCAAGCCCGAGCTATGCGTATCCAGGTGAGTGAGGAACCAGTGCTGAAATTTTTAAGTAGTTTGAGTTTTTTATAGATTTCTGTCGGTCAACTGCTCTATTCACCCTGAATGGACCTTGCAGCTTAAAATCTACAGAAATCTTTAGCAGTTCTCTCAGAGACTTCGGCTCACAGTCCAATATAATGTGATGTTCGTGAAATGTTTCGTCTGCTTCCTTCCAAAGCACGCGATAGTCCTCAGCATAATCTGCCAAATTTCGTAACTTCAGATAGTCCGTATTCAGGGCGTGTATGTTCATAAGATCTTGTAAGCGAGCCAGACCTGGAATAAAAGTATATTTTATACAATACATGTCATATAAATTACTATATATGTCTTCTATAAGATATGTATAATATTAGGATCAGAATTCGAATATGAGTCGATCTTTTCCTTTGGGCTGCCCGTTCGTCTATTCGTTCATCTATCTGACTATCCGTCTGCCCACCCGTCTATCCATCTGTTTCTTCTCTGATCCGTTCTGTGTATTTTTCTATCTGTGTGTCTATCCATCCATCGTTCCGCTCGTCACTCTGTTCACTCATCCGACCCTCAGGCTGTTCATCTATCTATCCTATCAATCCGTTCGTCCTCCGATCAATTCTGTTCATCCATCCATCTGTTCGTCTGGCCTGCCGTGCTCTCTGGCAGTTTGACCGATCGTCCGTCTGACCTTTCATCCGTTTGTCCGTTCGTCCGTCTGACCGTTCGTCCGTCTGGATCTCCCTCCGTTTATCCATCCGTTCGTCTGGCCATGTGTCCTATCTATTCGTTTGCTCAGCCATAAGTGTATCCGTCTGTCTGTCTATTCCGCTATTCCGCAGTAGCCCGCTTCATCCATTCTTCCGCCTGTTCATTCACTCCTCTGTCCGTTCATCCGTTTGTTCGTTTGACCGTCTGTTCGTCCCTCTATATATCTAACCGTTCTCCGATCCGTCTCTCCGTTCTACGTCCATTCAACTTCTGTCTGTCCTTATTTCCTATCTTCTGTCCTGCCTGTCTATGGGTATCGTCGTACTCTGCAACTTCCACCCAAGACCATTGTCTGCGCTTCTGCCGCATAAACATAAATCTCAATTGGGAATAGCATTACTCAACTTACCCTCTGGCGTTTCATAGATTAACGTAAATGTGCGCCACTCGTAGTTGGTTTTGATGATGTCGTAATAGGCACGCGACAGAGCGGACAAAGCAGGTGCGACATTCACCGTCATTTGATTATTCAAATGCTCCTGCCGCGTCGCCTCGAGCTTCCAATCGTATTCTATGTGTGGAATGCCGGTCGTGTTAGCGATTTGCGCTACAATATCTGGGTGAATAACGATTTCAAAACACACAGAATTCAACAACATCTGTTGATCAATGAAATTGAAACACACTAGGCCACTCCTACATACCACTAGCTGCCTTTGAACTTGGTCCGAAAATAGCCGCAACGCCATTGGAAATCAGTTCACATGCTAAACCGGAACACATATAGATATTTGTATACATACATACAAACACGAGATATTGAGTGAAACACTTACTGATCTGCTGCAATAGGAAGCTATCGTTGGTGGGCATATAGCGTTTGATGGTGACAAACTGTAGATCCGAGAATTTCAGATTGTTAACCTCACGAAAGGCCTGATCGAAACTCAATTCGATTTCTTTTTCATTTTCATAGAAAATAGCACCTGAAAATTATTTTCAAGTAATATTCATTTTAATTTGTATTTTTGTTTTTATTTATAAATATTAATTTATGTGAAACATACCAACTGGAATTTTCGTATTTCCCTCGACGCCCATGGCGAGGGCATATTTTAAAAATAACACCAAATAAATGTTGACTGGATACAAATGCATTTTGTTTCATTTCAAATACAACGAAGTTCTAATTAGACAGCGCACTCCAATTGGATTTTGCTAAATGCAACAGCCATTTCATTTAGTTATATACATAGATTTATATATTTTTGTATATTTATATATATTGTATATACACTCGAAAATTACGTAAAATTTTCAAAAGTTTTTATTTATTTTTTTTGTTGATTTTCTATATATATATAGAAAAATATGCTTTACTTTTGAATATTTTCAGCTGTTTGCTCCAAGCGACCGCAGCATCCAGTCTTGGAGCGCTAAGCACGCACACTGACCAACCGACCGGCCTAACTGTATCCGCTCTCCATCCGCCAATGCTCAATTCTAAATGCTGTGCTCTGCTCTACCCTGCTCTGCTCTATGTGCTCTCTGCTCTTGGGGAAATGCCATCTGCCATCTGCCATCTGCCTTGTGCCATGTGCCATGTGCCATGTGCCTTGTGGCATGGTCATATTTATGGCGCCTGACAATGACGTAGGCGGCATCCAGTCTGCCGTGTCTTTTTGCCTTTGCCAAATTTATTTGTTTTATTTTCTTCCCATACACAAAATTATCTACTCTCTCAGTCACTCACTTAATTCAGTTTGTCAGCAGCTTTTCGTATTGTGTGCCAAATATTATGATGATCGTGCCTTTGTTCGATCTTGGCAACATTTTGATCTTTTAAGAGCAGCACTTGATCGCTCTTTCATCTTTACAAGCATGTTTTTGGTTGAACAACTGGATTGGGGCATCACCGAAATTCCAATGTGAATGTGTTTAGCAATCAGGCAAATTACACATGTTTGTTATCTTAATTCTTTCATTGATCAATTGAGAATATCCAAATTGTTGCATATGTATATGTTTTTAGCATTTTTAGAGACTTAAGTCATTCAATTTTCATATTTTTACATGCTAAAATATAACAAAACCATTTATATTACGGGAAAAAAACATCTTGATATTACTTCTCTCGCGTGATATATTATTTATTTAAAAGGTAACATAAACATGACATGCCATAATGTGTACATAAACGTATCTCTATATTTATTTGTATTAAAAATTTCTATAATTTAATTTTTTAATTTATATTATATTTATATTTATATTTGTTTTTATATTTTTAATGAAAAATTTATGCACAATGTATAAATTTGTATACTATATATACACGATAATTTATATAACCTACACTTTGTTATGTTTTATATATTTTTTTATAATTATTATTATAATTATATATAAATATTTATTATTTTTTCATTTTTTTTTTTTTTTTTCAATTTATTTATTGAAAATTATTGTTATTAATTTAATATCGATAGACTATCGATTATTTCATCAAAATTGATAAGCTCTAACAATAGTTCCATCTGTTAAAAATCTATCGCATTAGCTTTGCTTTTTCAAACATTTACACTTACACTAGCAGAAGCACATAAAATGGTAATCAAACTCTCAATTTCGTTCAAATACAATGATAGCCCAACAACGTATTTGCTAGACATTTTGATTTTAATATAAACGCAATCGAGGATGATCACAATAAGGAAGGATAAAAGGTGTAAATGGAAGAAAAAGAAATACACAGTAGAGAACATGATTTGTTTTTTTCAATGCATTTGGGGCAATGTCTTTTAGCCTCATGGTTTATTGGTAAGAAACTCGCATTGAATTGACCTTTTTGAGCTTATGTGAATTCCCTAATTTCTATAGAATATCTAACAAGAAATAGACAACTTCAGCAGCTCAGGATCCCAAAGCCAGGCCCAGCAATTGGAGATGGAATTCGAGTGAAACTCCGTTTGCAACAGGAAAGCAGATATTCCTATATACATACATAGATATATAGATATATATATGCAATAATTAATATATATTGATATAGATATAGATATATGTATGTATATATATAGGTACGTTTGCTGCCGCTTAGGCAAAGGCAAATACACATACTAAAGATGAAGAACTGAATAATATGTCTTTGAATTAATTCAATTGTTTTCATACTGAGCGTATGTATATAATATAGTTAAGAACTTAAATTATATTAGTTTTCTTTGTTGATTTTAACTATATAACTATACATTTTATAAATATATATAATACATATTCTTCATCAGGTTGATGAGCTAAAGCGATATCGCCCATGTTCATCAGGCCATCTCAAAGTTTCTTCATATGTAACTCAATGAAGTATGTAACTTTATTTAAAAACAAGTAAGAAGACTCTAGTCGAGACTGCTCGACTAGGAGATACCCTGAACCCTCTAATTTGATATTCTAATCACTCTGCACTTCTTTTCGGCACACATACATACACACGCACGTATTAGAACGCGCTCTGCTAACTGTGCAGTAAGCAGCGACTGCGCTTTATATTTATTTGTTGAATAATTTAATTTCTAGACTTACAATCTTAATGAAACTTTTAGAGCGTAATCATACGGTAAAAATGTATGTACGTTCCAAAGCACAAGTCTCTAGTACTTGAAATACGCCTTTTACAAAGGTGAGGGTGAGGGGTGGATATAGAGGTGGGGGGTAAATTACAACAAAAATCGAAATTATATAAAATACTTATAAGTCTACATTTAAAATCTGGAATCTCTAGCTCTAAAGGTGTAGGAGATATAATTAATTAACTAGCTTTCGGTAAGGTTTGTGATCGATAATAAAATATCGGGAGTAGTTATGGATATATAGAGAAAAACTTGATATGCGCGTGATATACACGGACCTATACCTATACCTTCTGAGATCGACGCCTTCATACATACGGACGGACGAACAGACAGACGGACAGGGCCAAATCGACTTAGCACGTCGCCCTGATCAAGAATATATATACTTTGTGGGGTCTGCCACGCCTCCTTCTGCCTGTTACATACTTTTAACAAAACCATTATACCCTGATTTCCTATTTTCAATGGGTTCAGGGTATAATTAAACCGAAATATGTAAATCCATGTTCGTCTATATGCCTGTTCATTCGTTCTTCTGCCCGTCGATACGCTCGCCTATCCGTCCTTCAAGTAGCTCTTTACATTAGTCAGGATATCTTCTAGTCCGGCAGTCCCGACTAAAGCATATTTTTTAATATTTTCAAATTAATGTTGATATTTATTATAAACATATTTTTCATTTAAAAATCCCCACATACACAACTTCTTAGTACTTTGCCTTCATTCTAAATTTCAAGTAGGCCCTAGATATTTAATTTACCACAAACTAACACAATGATCATATTCTATAAACAAACTTTACATTCTAACTAACACAAAAAGCTCTTGCTTATTTTTAAGCAACAAAAAAAAACAAAAAAAAACAAAAAAAAACAATAAAAAAATATAATTTAAATAAATCAAAACAAACTTAAAAACTAAGGAAAAACTAAAAAAAGGTAAGCAACTTGAATTAATTTTAAAAACAGCAATAAAAAACCGAAAACTTTTGCATATAGCAAAAACAGAAAATGGATGAAAAGAGAATTGACTTTGGCGTTTTAGACTTTGATACGTATGAGGACTATCTAGAATCATATACAACCAAGCAGGACAAACAATATTTGCGAAGCCATGATGTGATCGCAAGATATCTGAAATTGGGCTACCGCGCCACGAGTGCCCCATATGATGCGGCCGAGTTTAAAAGGCGTCAGTTTCTGGCCATGCATGCGTTACGGCCTAAAACCTCGAATGATCAATGCTTCAGTAGATTTTTGTCGCCAAATAACACAGATCCCGTGCTGTTGCAGTTCAAGGAACGTGAATTTCCCATATACTCCAAGATCTTAGCGGTAAGTGGAAAATAGAAACTTATTCGACAATTCAAACTTGCCGCCGACAGACAATCGTCTTCACAATGTACACGGATAAGAAGGGATCCGAAATTTCAGCGTATATCGATTTGGGCATGAGCTGGGCGAACACGACGCGTCAAGCGTACAATCATGCCAACTGGAAGGGCATCTACGAGGGGCGAGCCCATCTGCGGCCGATGCCGCATCATCTCAGTTATCGTAATGCCCAATACAATGTATTCTACTATACGGACAGCGAAAACTTTAAGGTAGTGCACGACGATCGCTACGGCCTAATGTTTATGCACAAGGGCGATCACAAGTATCTGCCAGTTGGAGGTCATGATAATCCCTTCAATCGCAACGTGCATCGCTCCACAGTGATCTCGCCCAAGTACGGCTCGGTCATATTCTACGATCATACGCTGCGCAAGAAGGTCTAGAACTATCTTGCAAATCCTGATTGACAAAATTAAGTGCAATGTATCAGAAATCGTATAGTATGAGTAAAGAGTAAAACAATTCGCTGGCTTTCACCCAAAAAAAAAAAAAAAAAAAAAAAAAAATCAGAGCATTTCTCCCTCATTTCTTTTTGTTTAGAATACGTTTAGCACAACAAACAACAGAGGGCGCCCTCTCTCTCTCTCTCTCTCTCTCTCTGTCTCTGTGCAGATTCTCATTTGGGCTTCCTATGCTTGCATATCTTTATACTCATTCACGAGGTTAAAAGAGTATGTTGGTTTTGTGAAATTTACAGCTAACTGTCCATTCGTTATTCCGTCCGTCCTTCAATCTATCAGTCGATCTGATCTTGTAATGCAGCTGAAGTTGGAGCTAGGACTGCAAAGTTTTTCCTTCCACCTTTACCAATAGAGATTCAACTGTTTCTGATGAGTATTATGCTGTCGGGAGCATGCGAGTGCAACATTCTTACATGTTTATTATTAGCATAGTTCACTTTACATATATATAAATATATGTATTTCGACATATATATGGGCGACATAGCTCATTGTATTGCGGGCCTTCGTACGTTTTAGTTGCAAATTTTTACATCATCAGTAAAATGCAGTAGAATGCATAAATATCAATAAAATATTGAGAAAATCAAATGATTATCAAATATTACGCCCCCTTCTGCTGGTTGCTGCTGCATTGGGCTGCAGCCAGGGAGAAGTTTAATGTGGGTAAGTTCAAAAAATAAAATATTGGAAAAACAATAAAAGCCAAAAACTGGGTCAAATTCATTTCGAGAATTTTTGTCCGCTGTTCAGGCATCATTTTCACATCGGACAAGGATGAGGCGGAAATTGCATTTCGCACGGCTGTGGACCGTGCAAATATTTTGGAACGAAATATAGAACTTGTTCCCGTTGTGCTCTATGCCAATACTGAGGACAGTTTTATAATGGAGAAAACGGGTATGTCTCGAGAAATAATTGGATAAAGCAATATATATGTATATATATCGTATATATATTTTTATTTCAATTGCAGTTTGTGAGCTGATTTCGCAGGGCTGCATTGCTATTTTTGGACCCAGTACGGGCAGCAGCTCAGGTAAGTTTCTTATTCAGAATTTTATTCGAGTTCAATTCATTCATGTTGTGCATCTAGACATAGTTGCCTCCATATGCCATACGCTGGATATACCCCATATTGTTTACGATTGGCTGCCGGATAATCGACAATACGAACACACATCGATGACCCTCAATATGCATCCGGATAATCTGCTGCTGGCAAGTGGATTTGCCGAAATCGTGCAAAGTTTCGGCTGGCGCAGCTTTACAATTGTCTATGAATCGGAGAGAGGTAGGTTTAAGTAGTGGAAATATCAAGTGTGAGAGCTATAGTTAGAGATTGGAATGTTTACGCAAGATTATATATCATATTATCATCATGAAATAATCAGAGAATCATCATAAGTGGAAAGCTCGTAAGCAAAGAAAGCGAAATGCAAATTGATCTCACTTGGTTATGTGGAATAAGAGTTAAAATAGTTTCGTATTTTTAGCTTGATTTCGTTATTCGATATTTATACCCTAAGCCCGTTGAAAATGAAAAATCAGAGTATATTGGTTTTAAGAAGGATGCGTGTCAGACCCCATAAAGTTTATATATATTCTTGATCGGGGTGACGAGCTGAGTCGTCCGTCCGTCTGTCTGACCGTATGCTTGAACGCGTCGAAGATATTAGAGCTACATGTGCCTTTTTTTGTGTAAGCCGTAAAGAAGCTTTGTAATTATTATTGAAATATCAGTTGCTCGAAGGGTTCAGGGGATCTCGTAGTCGAGCAATCTCGACTAGCGCTTTCTTACTCGTTTTTATAGGGTTTACTTACGCTAATATAACTACATTATTGGAAGGCATATAATCCTAATTGAGTAATTGAGAAAACGTTATAATCCATTAATCCTATTATTATATATCATTATCGCAGAGCTTCAACAACTGCAGGATATACTGCAAATAGGTGATCCGAGCAGCAATCCGACAACAGTCAGACAACTGAGTCCAGACGACGATCATAGACCCTTCTTAAAGGAAATTAAGCTATCCACTGATAATTGCCTTATTTTACACTGCTCGCCGGAGAATGTCTTAAAAGTTCTAGAACAAGCTCACGAGCTAAAAATGTTAGGTGAATATCAGGTGAGAAAGTGCAGAGATAAGAGTGTGCAATATAATAGAAATATTATATTTTTACTAATTATATTGTTTCTATCAATATCAGAGTGTTTTTATACCCCTCTTGGATACACACACCCTGGAGCTGGGTGACATTATGAATGTGGAGGCGAATATAACAACAGTTCGCTTGATGGATCCCACGGACTATCACATTAGGAACATTGTGCACGATTGGGAGGAGCATGAGAAGCGCGAAGAGCGATACTATAAAGTGCTGCCCACGCAGGTGAAGACGCAAATGATACTGCTGAACGATGCTGTGTGGCTCTTCTCCAAGGGCCTCTCAGAGCTCCAAATTTTGGACGAACTTTCGGCGCCCGAAATCGAATGTAAGCGCAAGAAGCCCTGGCAACATGGTCGGCGTATCATAGAGTTCATGAAGGCGGTAAGTGAATTATATGTCAAAACTACATCTAGTCTATATCCATGTATATATCTACAATATCATTATAATCTATATGTCGGGACGTTGCGTTTCTCGTTCTTGCCTTCTATCCCAACTGTGCATATAAACGAGTTCCCGGTGTCATTTAATTCTCTTTACCAAACTCTTTCATGCTCAGTTGTCTTTGACCAAGTGATTTCTTTTCTCCTGTCGAAACCTCTAATTCTAATCACTCCAATACTAAATCAATCGATGGATTCGAGCTACCAGTTTTTCTCAACACTACTGCATGAAGAAATCCCATAGTAACTTCAACAACAGTGTAATATCGCACTGGTACGACATATATATCTACTATATCATTTAATTCCACAGCGCTCTGAGGAAATTGGCACGGGTCGCGTCGACTTTAATGAGTACGGACAGCGCAGTTTCTTTACGCTGCGCTTCATGGAGATCGATGCCGGTGGATTTTTGGATCTGGCCACCTGGGATCCGGTCAATGGCCTGGACAGGCTCAACGATGACGAGGAGAGCGAAAAGCGTGTTGGCCAAAAGTTGTCCAACAAAACATTTATCGTCTCCTCGCGCATCGGTGCACCCTTCCTGACGTTGCGCGAGCCCGAAGAAGGCGAAATATTGCAGGGCAATGCGCGCTACGAGGGCTACTCCATAGATCTGATCGATAACATTGCGCGCATGCTGAACTTCAAGTACGAATTCCGCATGTCTCCAGATGGTAAATATGGCAGCTATAACAAAGTCACCCAGACATGGGATGGTATCGTGAAGCAGCTGCTCGACGGGGTAAGTAGGAACGAAACTTCAGATACCGTGATCCTTATATAGATATATGTAGATACGTTGATATATGTATGTAAAGAAATATATACATGTATTCAATTCTTTTGTAGAACGCAGATCTGGGCATTTGTGATCTGACAATGACCTCGAGCAGGCGTCAGGCAGTGGACTTTACGCCGCCTTTCATGAATCTGGGAATTAGTATCTTATTCTCTAAACCACCAATACCACCGACGGATCTGTTTTCGTTTCTATCGCCCTTCTCGCTGGACGTTTGGATCTATATGGGCTCTGCGTATCTGTTTATATCGCTATTGCTGTTTGCTTTGGCTCGCATGGCGCCCGATGACTGGGAGAATCCGCATCCTTGCAAGGAGCCGGAGGAGGTGGAGAACATTTGGTTTCTGAGCAACACAATGTGGCTATCCATTGGCTCTCTTATGGGTCAAGGTTGCGACATATTGCCCAAGTGAGTAGATTTCTAATGAATTGATTAAAGCAATGGAAAATTGATTTATTTTTTTATTTTTCGGTAGAGCCGCCTCAACACGTCTGGTGACTGGCATGTGGTGGTTCTTTGCCCTGATGATGTTGAACTCCTACACGGCCAACTTGGCTGCTTTTCTGACCAACTCGAGACAGGCCAGCTCCATTAATAGTGCCGAAGATCTCGCGGCCCAGACAAAGATCAAATATGGCGCTCTACAAGGTGGCTCCACAATGGGCTTCTTCAGGGACTCCAACTTCAGCATATATCAGAAAATGTGGACTGCAATGGAGAGTGCACAGCCATCAGTATTTACCAAAACAAATGACGAAGGCGTGGAACGAGTGCAAGTAAGTGTCAGAGTATGACGATAAAAATACTACGCACTGATCTACAGCTCAAGTATTTTTATTATTTAACTGACTAGTTATGCATAATTTAACAAACAAAAACACAATATTCATATCCACATACATTCTACTTTACTTTACTTTACTTTACTGTTCTCCACACATACAAACACCCATTTATACATATTTACACTCAGGACAGCCATCATTCTTAACTAAAGCCGAGCGTGCTTGGCGAGTGCAAGTGAGACAAGCTTCAAAGTTAATATTGTCCGCTTTGCTGTTTTATGTTGATCTTCAGCGAAAATAACATGCGCAAGACAGAGACAACTATATAGTAACTACTTTGCGTGTTCACCGTTTTCCATTTCGTTTAGCATACAAAATTATGTATTTGTGTAGGTATGTAGTACATACTATGTACATACATGTACACACGTGTGGATGTAAGCATATGCTTGTTTGTATTTACACAATATATGCAAGCTTCATTATTTTTACACAGTTACATATAAATACAGTGGTCAAATATAAAAAAAAGCAAACGACCATGCACATAAATAATCATTGTTAATTAAATGGTATTTTTAATAATCAATGTTGACTTAAGAAGTAATAGCGCCACTGTAAATACAGACAAAATACAAATAGAGAAGACGAGCGGCAAGCGATTACCGCTTTTTCTTTGCAATGACTTTTTGACTCTCTGAGAGCTAGAGCGCAGCAGTGATGCCTATTCTTCAACACTTGGCAAGCCAATTAGTATTATAGCTAGAAAAAGCTAAATAAAAATTGTAAGACTAAAAATCGCAAAATGCAGTGATATGTCAATCTAAATAAACAGCGCGAAAATGACCAGATTTTCAACACGATACATAAGTTATACTCTTTCTATATTTCTATATTAATTTAACCGCTTATCTTGCCATTTGAATACCAATTTACGGCTGCCTCATATATATTTTCTCGTTATTTATGTATTTCTCATTGCAGAAAGGAAAAAATATGTATGCTTTCCTAATGGAGTCCACCACACTGGAGTACAATGTGGAGCGTAAATGTGATCTAATGCAAATTGGCGGCTGGCTGGATTATAAGAGTTACGGCATCGCAATGCCCTTTAGTAAGTGAACTTGTGACGTAAGCCAAGAGCAGCGCGTTAAAATTTCTATGCTTGTCTAGATTCACCCTATCGCAAACAGATCAGCGGCGCCGTTTTGAAGCTGGGTGAACTGGGCGTGCTCGCTGAGCTGAAGCGCAAGTGGTGGAAGGAGATGCATGGCGGCGGCAGCTGCAAGGGCGATGACGAAGGAAACGCTGATACTCCGGAGCTGGGCCTGGAGAATGTCGGCGGCGTATTTCTGGTCCTGGGACTGGGACTGATGTCCGCCATGGTGTTGGGCTGTACAGAATTTTTCTGGAATGTGAAATCGGTGGCCATCGAGGAAAAGGTAAGTAGGAAAAAGATCTATTGCAACCTCTTATTCTCCAACAATTTTTTGTTTGTTTCACAGATCTCGCTGAAGGAGGCCCTCAAGGCGGAAGTGATGTTTGCCTTGCGCATTTGGATCACCACAAAGCCGGTGCACACAAGTGTCGGGTCAAGTTCTTCGTCTTCCTCTTCGTCTTCCGGCTCTTCATCAAAGTCGAAAGCTTCTAAATCGCATTCGACACGCTCAAAGCACTCATCCAAATCCTTGGGCCTATCCAGCAAAGATCATGATGCGGATTCCTCTGTGCACAGCAAGCTCAAGAAGATTGGATCCATGTTCTCGCTTAAATCTCAGAAGGCAAATTCGCCGCCGCTTGAAATTGGCTGGAAGTTGGATAAATCTACTCAAATGAGTGTTGCATCAACGCCACGTGATGAGGTGGAGGAGGAGCCGGTGGTGGAAGAGGAGCGTCCAGCTGAGCGACGTCATCATCATCATCATCACCACCATCATCATCATCATCGCCAACATCAGCAACAGGATCAGTTGATGGGTCAGCGAGCTAGTAAATTGAGCAATGGAGTTTAAAGATTTTTGATCGGTTTCCGTTATTCAAAGAGTTTTTAAGCCATTTATACTTATTTGTCGGAGTTTCTCAATACCACTAACAACAGTACACATACACATATAAATCCATTCAATTTCGTATTTGCTTCTTCACTCATTCACACGAGAGATTTAAGCAAAATGCAATTGAAGACATTGGCTGCTCTGCAGCTCTCTCACTCACACTTCTCAACTTTGATTGACAATTGACTGCTTGATTCTTTACGCTCTGTTCACGAAATCACTCTCTCTCTCTCTCTCTCTCACTCTCGCGCAAGTGGTTTCAATTCTTTACGTTGTGGTGTTCGGTCTTGTGGGATGCTGCTTTAATGTGCACCTGATGCTCCCACAATAAGACTCAAAAATGCTATGCAAACAACGATCAACAGTTATTTTCGAGCTATGATAAATAGCAATGAGACTTACTCAAGAGCAAAGTGAGTGATTAGCAGCATTGCAATTGAGTGATTTGCTTTGTTTGTATTCTTAATATGTATGTATGGATGCATATATGTACATATGAATCTTTGTATGTGAGCATTGCTTGGAAGGTTATGTAAAAGCTGATGCTTATGCACAAAAGCGTATGTAAATGTATGTATATATGTATATACATGCATATGCGCTGTTTATTCTTTATGTCTACATAAATGTTTAGGATGTTTGGTCTGTTGTATGGTTACTGTAATACTCGACTATATACAAGTTTTGGAATTCACTGCTTAAAAGTCAATGAAAAAATATTTTTTAAAATAGATAATAATATGCATTTATAAAGAATTTTGAATTCGATGAAACAACATTTAATATGTATTTGATAAGAGAATATAAATGGCTTAAAAATCTCTTTGATGTGTAGTAGAGCTTCCCAAAAAAGTATTATAAATAACTATTTAATTTGTTAAGCCCCTCTGAAAAAAAAAACACTATTATTTATTTCAGTTTTTGCAGCTTAATTTTGTATTTTTTTTTTTTTTCTTGATTCTGTTTTGAACATTTGTTTTAGAATTTGTTGCTGTAATACAATTTGTTTTAAGTTAATTGATTGCAAATCTCAGATTGTTTATCTTGTAGTTTTGTATATCTAAATTGTATTGTTATTTTTAATATTTCGTTTACCTTAAAGCTAACATTTTCATTTAATACTTAGTCGATATTTTAAAATTTTTAAATATTTGCAATATTTCATATTTTTACTGTTACACATATATAATATTTACTTGCAAAGCTAATTGAATACGTTTGTTGTTGCTCATTGTTTAAGGTACATTAGTTGATTATCTTTCTCTCCGACAGTTCGCCTTTTTATCTCCGTTTTTTTTTTTTTTTTTTTTTTTTGAATTTTTTTGGACTGTTTAAATACTAATAAAAATATATGTATTATACAAAGTTTGATTTTTAATTGAATAAAAAGAGCGCTGACAGAGAGATCGTGAGAGAGACAGAGATGGAGAGGGAAAGAGAGCGAACGGAATGAGATATTTATCTGAGATATATCTGAGAGAAATTTTAGAAACAGCTTTAGCTGTATAACATATATACAAAAGCAAATATTACTTGATATAAATTCAAAATAAATTCTATAACTAAAATACTTTTTTTTTACATTTTTCTCTTTCGAGTATATATATATTTTTTTGTATTCTTTTCTTTTGTACTTAAAATAATTAAATCGCTCTAAATAATTAGCTAAATTTTGTTTTTTTTTTTTTTTTGTATTTTTTTGTTAGATATATATTGTTTTCAATATTTCTTTTTTTTTTTTTTTTTTTTTACGGGTTGGAAATGCAGATAGTTTTTCTTCTTCAACCACACTGTGCTTTATCCAGAAAGACAATATCCCGTACGCTGCCGCGCCGTGGTCAATCCTTTGCTGTTAGGGCCACAGGTGGAAATTGGCGCTCGTCGTACAGCTTTGTGGGCGTGTCAATGGCATCGCAGAGCTTGCGAAACTTGGCGGAATCTAAAAAAAAAATAAATCTTAAATTATTATTTTTATTTCAGTTTGATGATTATTTTACTGTTTATTTTAATTATTTTCTTATTAAATTAGTATTTTAATTTATTTTTTATTATATTACTTTTTATTTTAATTATTTTTGTTTTTGTTTTTTTTTTTTTAAATATTTTCTCAAAATAATTATTATCCGTAATATTATTATAATATTTATTATTGATTTATAATTATTAATTTAATTTAGTGCTAAGCTTAAAGTTTATTATTCATTAATTGTTGCTTCTTATTAATTTATATTATTTTTATTATTTTACATATATTATTATATATATGATTATATATTTCTATTATTTATTTAGATTTTGATTTTATTATATTATTTATTTATTGTCTTTTGTTATTATTATTAATTTCTTTATATATAATATAATTATATATATAATATTATATACAATATATATATATATATAATTTAATTTGAATTTGTATTATCTATTAATTTTTCATCATTCATATTTAACTTCATTTTTATTTTATTATATAGTTCTTTTTCTTTTTTAAGTAATGCCCTATTATTTTTATCAAATCGCCACTCACCTGACATGGCATCCGCCTGCTCGCCGCGTAGTATGCCCGCATAGCTGTTGTCCGCCACGGGATCGGGATTCTCGATCAGCACGCTGGCCGCACAGCTCTTGAGCATGGTCAGCGATTGCTGTGGGAGCGCCTTGGGGGTTTGGGCCTTCAGCACGCTCTCGCTCAGCTGCAGCTCGATGACATCCTCGAGAGCACCCCTCAAGTCGTGCACGGCCAGCAGCTTGCAGACGCCTCCGCGCTCCGCATTGAAGTCGTGAATGTAGAGGAATCCATCCTCGCAGGCGATCAGGAGGCGCAGCTCCTTTTGTACGCGGGTCAGGGCGCAAATGTTCCTAAGGCCGGGCTGGGGCAACACCACGGTGGCGAAGGCGCGATCCTGGGCCAGCACGTCGCTGACCTGGGCGGGCAGAAGCAGCGAGGACATCGCCTTGGTGAACATGCCGCCCCAGGTGGCCGCTGTGCTGCCGCCAGGCGTTGCTTCAGCGGCCTCCTCAGTAGTGCATCCGGCAGTGTTCGCTGCTGGCGCTGCAGAAGAGGAACTCGTCTTGGTCGTCGTCGTGGCTGTTGCTTGCTCCTTGGCATTGCTATCTGATTTGGCGGCAACTTCAGCTGGAGCAGAAAAGATTGGTTAGAGAAGAACAGCTTTCTTTCGTAATCCCATTGACTCACCTATTGCTTTCAGCTCCGCCACTTCCACAGCCCGGCTGTCGATCTTGAAGACATGGACCGTCTCCGTGTTGGAGGAGGCGCACAGATAATCGCCGGCCGCCGCAAAGACCAGCGAGGCGATCCTCACGCAGCGCTTCACGCCGCGCCTGAACTCCTGCACCCGCTGGCCGTTCTTCACGCAGAAGACGCGTATCACAGTGCCGCGCTCCGAGGCGGTGGCCAGCAGTGCGCCGCTGGGCGAGAACGTGAGCGCTGAGAGGGGCGTGTCATGGGCCTTGATCGTCATGCCAGTGCGCAACTTATTGGCATTGAAGATGCGCAGCTCGCCGCTGGCCTGGCAGATCGGGAACGCCAGATGGGAGTTCAGTGAGAGCGCACAGAGACCCAGCTCATTGGGTGCGATATTCTCAATGGAATGCAGGATCTTCATGTCGCGTATGTCATGTATGTGTATGCTCTCCGCCAGGCAGACAATCAAACGTTGCCGATTCATGCGCACGCACAATATCTCCGAGGGATAGAAGCAATTGCAGATGTCCTGTTTCTTCTTAAAGTGCAGCATCTTCAGGCAGTTGGGCTTCTGTGAGGTGACCAGCACCACCAGTGAACTGTTGAAGAGCCGCTCCACAATGCGTATTTGCTCTGTATTGTCCTTGGCGAAGATCTCCTCAACCTTGTCCTGGCCGGCAATCGAATACAGACGCAGTCCCGCGCTGCTCAGCACAGAAAGTGAGCTGTGCGACGTTAAAGAAAAGATAATTGGGCATATTTAGTATATTTCTTCATAAGAACGTAGCATTTAAAACTACTTCAATGAAATTAATTTATTACCATATTTAATGAATTATTTAGCGATAATTTAAAGCAATCAGCATCTTTCAAATTAATTCCATATACATACAAATGCATTTAGTTTATTATTCAACATAAGAAATTTCGATTGCATCCCACTTCCCTCTCAATTCAATTCACATACACATTCCAATTCCCTCCTCCTTTTCATTTATTAAATTATGAGCCCTCTCGGGCTTCCAAAAATTGCCGTAGTGGACGGTATTTCACGTCCCCATGGCGGGGTATTGGTTAAAGTTTTCAACTAGCAATAATCGCACCTCAGTAGAACTTCATTGGTTACGATATCGCCTCTGCGCAAAGATAACCTAACTCGCCTAAGCAACGGCTACTCCATGCGCGCCCAGTCATAACCAGTTGAGAATTCTAAGTAACCTAGCCATAAATATACTCAAGCATACAAACGTTTCGTTTGCAAATTTCGATAGCATGCTTTTCGGCTGCACTTTTGTTGTTGTGTGTGTGTGAGCACTCGGCAAATGCATCCCTTTTTGTCCTCTATTAGCATTTGGGTTTTTAATTGGGAAGGGAAGTGCCGCAAATGCATTGGGAAAGAGGGTTAATGGTCAGCGGCAGCTGCATAAGGAATAGTTTTTATGAGTAGTTTTAAGGGTTGTTATTGAAAATTTTTAATACAGGAACATTTTTAAAAATAATTTTACTTTAATTGGCATAGAAAAAATAAATTAAAAACAACTTTTTGATTTGGTTGCGCTGGCATTCGAACCCGCAACCTTGACACACTTTTGATATGCAGTCAGCAAGACATGACACGCTGTAAAAATAAAAAAAATAAAAATAAACATTTATATGTATATATAAAGAGCAGAATAAGTATGCGTAATAGGTAATAGGTAATAGCTCTGACTATACGTCAGCAAATAATCATTCAACTTTGTTTATGCATAAATAATAATAGAAAAGAAATAACAACTAAAAGCAGTAAGAAATATAAGAGCAGTTTAGAGCTGAGCAGCGTGTGAAAGAGCGTGACAGCTATACGTATGCAAAAATACCAAATGCAGACAAATACCAGCGTAGTGTTTTTTAGTTCATTTTTAATTCATTCTAAGCATTCTAGTTCATTTTAATAGTATTTTCAATTGTTGCTAAACTTTAATTGAGATCCCGCTAACAATTGCTTTGGCGCGCATTTCAACTTTTGTACTTTGTACTTATTGCTAATAGAGGACAACTAACTATATTAAATCACTTGGCGACAATTGAGATTCGCCCTCGGCCAAATAAATGTGCAGCGCCTTATAAAGCAATGCAATGCCCAGCTGCTTCTTCTGCTTCATCGTCCAAATCTGCGCCGGCCCATAGTAATCCCCGCGCTTCAAATTGGTCAAATGCGTCAGGCCCAGAGCATCGATGATGGCTGCCTCCCTCGTGTACGCATCCGTGGGCATTATGTTGTGAAAGACATGCAGGCAGACGACGCCGCTGCCATGCTGCCAAATGTCCAGGATGCGCTGCAGCTTCTTGCTCCCAGCCTTGGCATTTCCCGCCGGCGGCGACTTGAACAGCTCCGGCATCAGCAGGCCACGTCCAGTTGGACGCTTTTTCCCATTTTCCGACGGCTGCTGGTGCTGCTGCAGGTGGAGGCGCGTATGCTGACGCATTGCATCATACAGATGGGCATAGGGCCGGGAGCACTTGCCTTTGCCCACATAGAAAATGGCATCCAGGAAGCGAGACCAAATGCTTAGAGGATCCACAAACGCTCGCTCTCCCGGCAAATTCCTCGAGATCCTCGGATCTATCAGCATATAGATGAAGCTCTGCTTCAGATGCCCCTCCCGCAGCTGTTTCCCACTGCCCCCAGCTCCAGCTGTGGCAAAGTGCTGCGCTGAGGCGCTCTCGTGCACCATGAACCGCTCAATCTGCTCGTAATCCTCCTGCGACCTCAACGTATGATGCAGCTCCACGGAGTACTTGATCTGCGCCGCCTTCGCATGCTTCTGCGCCGCCAGCAGGGCCGCCGTGTTTCTCTTGTACTTGATCAACTGTTTGATATACAGCCGCTTGGTGGTGCGAGTAATGGGTCCCACTGGAGCGCCCAGCTGAGTCAGCTCTGCACGCAGTGCGTCCGTCTCGTAGTCCAGCGGCACTGTGAAATTTGTGCTCGCACTGCTATCCAGCTGAAGGGATGCTGGTGGGACTTCCAAGTGGTTCGGCATGCGCTTCGTCAGCTGCTTCTTGGGCTCGCCATTTTGGAGCAGCTTCGTCTCGTAGAAGACCAGGCCATTCTCGTCGTCCGTGTGCACATAGGCTTCGGTCATTTGCAGATAATAGGATTTGTCTTGCGGCTGCTTTTGTCTCTGCTTCTGCTGATCCCTCGTCTCCTGCTTCAACTGCTCTCGCTGCTCCTCCTCCTCCTCTGGGGCTGTATAGAAACTCTGCTCCAGCACACAAGCCTGAGCCACCTGCTCCACCAGCTGGCCAAAGGCAGCTCGACCTGCTGGAACGCTGGACTTCTCTGCCGGATCCTGTGCCGTCTGCCTCAAGCTCTGCTGCACATGCTGCTCGTAACTAAAGTCCTCCTGCGCCATAGCCTGCTCCACCAGCATCTCCACCTGTTGCTCCTGCAGCAACGACTTGCGGGCACGCGAACGCTCCACCTTATCCCGCCAGCTTTCGATCAGCGTGCGACGTCCGCACGTCGCCACATCCTGATTGTGCGTCAGTTCGGCCAGATGATCTCGCGTGAGGGCGAATAGATTGACTGACTGCTCGTGCTCCAGCTGCGGCTCCGGCTCCGAGTCATCTGGGAACCGTGGTTGCGGCTTGCCACGCCGATGCGTTATGTTGATGTAGTAGGGCGAGGTGACATCGTGATTGTACTTCAGCATCGCCTTGGGCGTCAAGGACTTCTGCTGCAGCTTCAGCTGCTGCTTCTCCCGGTAGATATGGTCGCGCATCAGCTGCAACACCTCGAAATGGCACTCCTCGATGGCATAGTGCACGGCCAGCTTGTGCTCATCGTCCTCAATGTCCGGCCGTGCTCCATGCTCCAGCAGCAGACGCACCAGCTCCGTTCGTCCATAGATCGCCGCAATGTGCAGGGCCGTCATGTTCCCATCGCAGCGCACATTCACATCTATCTGATCGCTGGCGAGAAAGCGTTCGAGTATACGCAACGCCAGCGCCTCGTTCGGCATGCCGCACACATAGTGCAGCGGGGCCAATCCTCGCTCGCAGGGCACGATGCCCGCATTGATGACGTTTCGATCCAGCATTGAGAATATATCCGCTTCGTTCTCATCCTCCAGGGCGTCGAGCAGTGTGAGAGCTAGAAAATTAGCGCGCTGCTCCATGGCGTGCGAATTGATTTTCCACACATACACGCTCTCTCACTCTCTCTTTCTCAGGTATATAATTACTCAATTATTTTCCAATTCTCGCCTTTTTTCAATGTCAAATGCAATTCGTGTTTGTTGTTGTTTATGTTTGGCTTGTGCTTGCTGCGCTTTGGTATTTTAGTTGGTATTTATTCAGTGCGACGCGCTGCCACACTGTTAGACAGTGCTGTTAAACGTGAGCGTTACGCGGGAAATTTGAATTCTACATTATCTGCTATAGCAAGTCATACCAAAAGCTTTTGAATGGCAATGAGAACATTTTGCTTAATTATTGTAATATTGTATATTATTTATAGATCTCGATATTAATATAATTATAATAAACATTTTGCATGATCGTCATATTCATATTATTCGTGTTTATTGAAGCAACAGTGCTGGTAAACAATCAAAAGACGCGGTACTTTCGAATATTGCTTGGCCAGCTTTGAAAAAAAAAAAAAAAAATACTGAAAGCTTTTAATTTTAATTGTTGTTGCATATGGGTTTTACACTTGAATTAATGCAAAGCCGTTTTAACCATGAACATGTTAGCATTTATTGTTATCACTTACTCGTAATTTATGTCAGACACGTTTGTCCGCCAAACCCCAAAACGATAAGCCAGAGCCAAAAATCTGGCGATGAGCGCAACACGTGTGTTACTCAGCCGTGTTTATTTTTGTTCTCAATGTTGTTGTTTTTTTTTTTTTTTTTTTTTTTTTTTTTTTATAGTATTAAAACTAGTTTTGCGCCAAAGGCGTTGTTGCAAAAAAATAATGGGGCTCAAGGCCGTGCTGAATTGTATGAGAGAGGCATTCAGATCCCCCTTGGAAAATTATAACATGACGGCCTTGTTTGCGGTTTTCTGTTTTTATTTTATTTTGCGATATTCCCCTTTGCGATGTTTACTAACAACAGCTAAACTAAAGCTCAGCATTCCACACATTTGCTCAATAATATTTTTGTATGTTTTCAATGACGCATCGGAAGCAAAAATGAAAACAATCATCAACACAAGCAAAGTGGACTTATAAATTAAAACGTTCGGGCAAAAGTGCTGATAAGGGTTCATTAGCATCAACAGAGAAAGGGATTAAAAGTAAGAGCTGAAATTTAAATACTCTAACATATACAAAAATAATTTATATATAATAAAGTTGGTCGCATTAATTTAAAGCTTTTAAACATAAATCAACTGTAACACGCTGACAATACAGTTTTAGTGAAATAAAAAAAATAAAATAATTAATTATAATTTTGTTACAATCTGTCTTGGAAAACTATATTCCCTTGCATTCACATAACGTATATGTAGGGTATAAGAGACGCAAAACGCACAGGCAAACAGCTGGTGTAAACAAAAACAGAGATATTATGAAATAACTGCACTATTCGTGCTCAATGTGCAATGGTCGTGATAGTAACACGTGTTCATAGTTGCTCAATCATTGCCATTATCATTATCACTATAATTGACTCGACTCGGCTCGACTCTACCGCTGCACCTTTGCCCTTGAACTTGACGCTTGATCGAATGTAAAGGCAAACGCCTAATTGAGTTCGATTTTGCTGTGCATTCACCTGCAAAAGGCTTTTAAAAGCAAATTGATTTGTTCTGATTAGAAAGCGTTTTGCATGCTATCTCTTTTTAGCGACCTGCTTTCTGAGTTCTTTGTTCTCGCTTTATGACGCGAGACTATCAGGCTTGTTATTGTTGCTGCTCATATAATTCAGTTTCCATGCATGTATGCGTGAGTGTGTGTGTGTGTGAATAATATACAAATATAAGAATGTACATATGATACACATACATAGCTTTAAGTGTTTTCTTTTTTGGATTTTCGCCATAAGCAGAAATATTGATTGTTTTTGTTTGTGCGTCACTTGCACTGGCGAGAGCAAAGTGCAAGAAAAATAGTGGAAGAAAGGGAGAGCAACCCATTAGATGCTCGCCAAGTAACGGTGGTTCGGGCAGCGAGATAACCGCAATATGACATCAGCTGAGCAAAAATAAACAATGCTTCCAAACAAAAACAAATTAGCAAAAAATTACAAAAAAAGAAGCTATACAAGTTTATTCAGCTTTCAAGTCAGTCACAAGCACTGTAGAAAATACATACAAAGCGAACAGCATCAGCTGTTGCGCATTTACAGTATGCTTGTGTGCTTGTTTGTTTGTGTATGCCTGTGTGTGCTGGCTACTGCTTATTACACTGTTTAGCAAACAACAATTGTGAGCGCTAACATTTCTGTTAATGTTAAGATGATGTCAGATTCACTCTAGCTAATTTTATGCCTAAACTTATGCACAATCGCGTTTTTTATATTTAATCAACTTTTTTTATTGATGCAGTCAGGTGATTTCTTTAATTTGCTGGTTAGTGTACTTGTTTGTCATTACCCATATTTCATAATAAATGTATGCATGTCATTCTTATTAGAACTGGTTGTTTGCATGTTCTAATAAGCAAAACGACGCCAATACACGCTCACACACACTTACACAAATAAACAGATACACACACTTACACGCACCCGTACTGATAGACGCTGTTACAGTTCAGCTATTAGCACCCATTGTTTCCCTGACCCGCTGTGCTCCACCTCCTCCCTCTTACCCACCAGCTGTTTCGCTTGTTTACTTGTCTCATTTGTCGTTTGTTGTATCGCAGTTTTTTTTTGCGATTATAATTTTTTTTTTGTTGCTCAATGACCTTCTTTATATCGAAGAAAGGCTGTGAGTAGGTGTGCAAAAGTTGGTCTGGGGTAGATATTGGGTAGCTAATTTGTTACAACTTACGTAAAATCCTGGTTGAAATTCATTTGATATGCTGCCATTTTAGAAATCTGTTACAGCTGTTTTTTTCAATGCGAAAAATTTCTTATTCCACACACACTTTCACTGCTTTTTCGCGTTTGATTCGTATTGATTTAAACTTTTGTTTGTTTTCTTTACTCTTTTTCGCAATTTAAAACGCAATAAATTAACAAAGAGTAAACACTGTGAGTCGCTTGAGATAGAAATTCGATTTTCACCGTTGTTTTTGTCCGTCTTTGTTGTTTTTCTACGCTCTTCTTATTTGCTTCTGTTACATTTTCAAACAAATGTTAATACCCCAATAGCTGAAACCATCTGAACATTGCCAATTGAGTAATTTCGTTAAGTGAGTAAATTTCGTTGAGTCACAACAATCGGTCATCTCGAAGGTTTGTGTATTGTGCGACCACCACAGTTTATCGGTTGTCTATCGGTTCTCATGCGTCGAAAAATAAAGTAATAGTATAAAACTTATTAAAACTATGATTAATTTGTGCAATAACTCGTTTTGCGTTTGGTGTACTTGAAGTGAAAACAAATGCAGTGCATAATTAGTACTGCTTTTGCTATTTTGCCAGTGTTTTGTACAAGTTTTTGAGGGCCTAACACATTTTTTCAGCAGACGCATGAAAAATGGCGGCGTCTTCAGCTACGGCTGAATGTAAAGAAGAATGTAAAGATAAAGATGACGATGCATTAACTACAACGTTACATTCGTGTGCAAACGATCCAGATTTTGCAGTAATATGTGCATTTTTGCAAAAATTTGCCAAAGATTTGGGCTTGGCATTGCCAAATTTCAAGCATTTGCAGGAGTGGTTGACAAACAACGATGAAGGTTCGTATGTGTGTGTGCGTGCATATGTATGCAACTGTGCAAGTCAGAGTGCGTGTGCGTGTGTGTGTGACTCGCAACTGAGAGAGCGAGAGTGACAGAGTGAGAGAAAGAGAGCTCGATTGTTTGTATTATTGTTTGGTATGAAGTAAAGCGGAGACCGTAAAAAATGCAGCTGAAAGAGAAAACGAAACAAAAACAACAACAATCATAACATTTAGATTAACATTACTTACACACGTTTTCCTTTCTTGTTTTTTTTTTTAGTGCCCCAGCTGCGAGATCTTCACATTAAACTGTTGCGCAAGACACGAAAAACGGTTCATGAAAAGAGCTGGGAATCAGCGCTGAGTAAATTCTGTTTCGGGTATTCCCTGCAGGATGCCTGGGAGATTGAACGCTTCGGTTACCGGAATTCCAGTCTTAAGGTCAAGCTACGTATTCTACGCGTGAGTATAAAAAAGAAGTTATTTCTGTAATTTCCCATTTAAAGTCATTTAATAATCCTTTCATTTTTTAAATCAGGAACTGCTTGAGAGTCAATTTGAGCGCAATGCTAAGTTTCGTGCAAATATTCAAACGCAAAATGCGACCACATTGCGTGCCCAGCCCATTGGACGCGATCGCTTGGGTCACTCCTATTGGCTCTCGCAGGATGGCGATTGCAATTTGCGTATTTATCAGGAGCATTTGGACGAGGAGATATGGCAGGTGGTGGCCACAAATCGTGATGAATTTGTTAACCTAATTGCACGTCTGCGCGGCAATGAGGTGGTGCTGCCCTCCAAGGATATTGGCGAAGCGGATGAGGATACTACAAGCAGTAGCAGCAGTAGCCAGGCTGCACCACAGGCAACGGCAACTGTGCCGCAGCAAGAGCCACATGATGATAATTCGCACGAAGCGAAAGTGCCCAATTTGAAGATTAAGCTACGTACGCCTGAGCAGCAGCAGGAGCAACCGGAGTCGGATCTTAAACCCAAGAAGGTCAAGGTGAGTTCGTTAACTGTATAACGGTTTCCTTTGATTACGCCAATTGTTTTGCAGCCACTGGTCATTACACAAGGTAAACTGGGCGGATCACCTGCACCGGCCAAGAAGCGGCCTTTGGAAGATGTGGATAATAGTCCACCGCTAGCGTCTGAGGATCCTCAAAAGAAGCAGCGACCTACGCTGCTTGACACAAAACGTATTAAAAAGCCGAGTCGCTATGAGAGCACAAAGTCCGAAGATGATAACGAAGTGGATTCGGAGGACTCGGAGCTAGATGAGGGCGAAGAGGAGGAGGAAGAGGAATCACTCGAAGGAGAGGAGGAATCGCTTGATAGTGCTGCTGCCGACGAAGATGAGAACGAGCAAAAATTTAACGAAGAGGAGGAAGAGGAAGAAGATGACGAAGATAATGAAGTTGGCGAGCCCATTGAAGAGCCCACGTTAATAGTTCGCGGACACGGAGCTGGCCATGAAAATCAAGCGTTGCCAGACGATCTACTGTTTCTTGGCGCATTTGTGGATAAGGAAAGTGTTTTGGATCCTTCTGTTGGTGAAGCAATCGTTGAAGAAGTCTTCTTTGTGCATGGCTCTGGAAGTGGCACTGATTGTCTGGTGGGAAACAATGGCAACACCGAAGCCAACGACGAGGAGGCCACCTCAAAGCCTGAGCCAAAGGCGACATTCTTTTTTGGCGAACCGGGCTGTCTGAAACTAAGCCCCATTAAACAGACGCCAAAGCAGGAAGCAAAAAGAAGCATATTCGATAGCTTGGGCGACCCAGAACGAGAACCAGAACCCGAGAAAACGAATGGAGAGAGTCGAAAGCCTAATGAAACGGAGAATGATAATGAGAAAATAACGGTAGTGCTAAACGGCAATGAGTCGCCGGAACAGGACGAGCAACAGGAGCAGCAAGAAGATAAATTCAACTCTAATGACAAAATTATTGCAGAAGATGAAACTAACGCTAATATAGTCGAAAAAGAATCAGCAGAAAAACCAGCTGAAGATGTTACTGAAAAGACGGAAGAACCAAAACCAATCTCAAATGAACAAAAACATGTGGATGAAAAACCTGAAAAGTCAGTAGAGGAAAGCGTCGAACAAATGTATAAAGTGAGGGTCATAGAGACCTCAAATGAATCAGTAGAAATTGTGAAGAAAATAATTGAAGCGGAAAAGACAGACGTAAAAGATGAATTGGAAACAAGAAAAAAGGTTGAAAGCGTCGTTGAAAAAGTCAAAGATGATATAAACTTAAATATGAACCATGTTGGCAAAGAAGAGCCTAAGGAAGAAACCATCAAAGAAGCGGCAGTTGCCGCTGATAATGACACAGCGCCCAAAGTTGAACCACTTAAGCCATCAATTGCAGAAAATATCAAACTAATTTCAAATGAAACTGACTCACAGAAAACTTCATTAGTTGCAAGTTCCTGCGAATCTGTTAAGGCAGCTGGAAATGGAGCCGAAGCAGCTACAAATATTGACAAATCAAATGAAACTGCGGTTGCGTCTGAAGGTAACGAACTAGCAGAACCCGCTGCGGAAATTAACAGCAAACCTAGACTAACGGAAACAGTGCAAAATGAATTGCCTAGCACCTCGAAGGACGCAGTCCCACATGACAATCAAAACATACAGCCTAAGGAAAACAAATCTGAAGTGAAGCTCGGTGAACCAAAGGAGGCGAATGAAAGTAAATTAGGAATTCCAGCCGAGAGCCAGAGCAGAAAAACAATGTTGCTGCCCAATCGGAAGCGTCGTTTGGCCGACTTTGCAGCGCCCGCTGCACGTCACTCGACATCCGAGAGCGAGATTGACCACGGCGAGCTGCAGCTGGAGGATGATCATGACGATGATGATTTGGATATTGGTGGGAAGCGTATTAAAATGCGTCCAAAGGTCACCAATGTGGAAGTACGGCGCAAAGTAGAGGCTCAGAAGACACAAATCGAGGAGACAACCTCGTCGAGTGGTGAGGAAGATGCGCGCAGTCGTCGCAAGATCATAGCGCCAAAGCGCCATCTCGAGAAGCCCACGCCTGTCAAGCAAAAGCCGACGCTGGCTGAAATTATCGAGAAGAAATTGAAGAAGACTCCAGAGAAACCAAAAGATGAGCAGCAACAGCAGCCGCCTCTATTGCCTGAGCATTCACAGACAGTTCAGCCATCGCTCGGGCTTGGTCCTGCCCCTACGCCTACGCCTGCGCAGCCAGTTAGTGAGATCACGCCGCCTGGCGCACAGCGAAGAGATGATGTACCCTTTACGCCTCCTAAGAAGTCACCCATTACGAAGCCACTGAAGAAGAATCTACTTACACAAATACGCCAGGAGGAGAGTGACGAGGAGGCAACACCTAGAAAGCGAACCAATAGCGAAACAGTTGTAGCGACTCCAGCTACATCTTCGACTTCGGCTCCACCTAGCCAAGGCTTTGAACCCACATTGCAACGTAAGCGCCGCAGCAGCGAAGATGCAAAGGAGTCCAAGGAGGCGAGTGTCAGCGAGGACTTGCCCGCAATAAGCGAGAAACACATGCGCAACAATGATCAGCAATTCCCGCAGGAGGAATCCTCGACAGCAGCTTCAGATACCCATCAAGTCAAGCAGGATACAACAGCTGAACGGGAATCACTACCAGTTTCGCCTCGTGCGGTTAAGCAAGCTTCGCCGCCGGTGTTTAAGCAATCTACACCGCCACCCGTGAAGCAAGCCACACCGCCACCCGTTAAAGAGATCACACCTCCTCCTGTTAAGAGGGCAACTTCTTCCCCAGATAAGGCCGCAACATCTCCTATAGCCAAAAGAGCCACGTCCCCTATAGCCAAGAGAGCAACATCCCCATTAGCTAAGCGAGCAGCGTCTCCACCTGCCAAGAGGGCAACATCTCCACCGGCGAAGCAAGCCACGCCACCTCCGCCCGCTACGAAAAAAGAGCCCCAGGCAGTCAAGCAGGCAACGCCACCAACTCCCAAGGAGGATTCACCGCCGGCACCACCGGTTGAAACCCAAGGGCGACGCTCTGGACGTCGCGGAGGCACCGCTGTAGTCCACTCGGAGTTGCCGCAACCCAAGCGCACTCGAGGTGTCCCTAAAGAGAAGTCCAGCACTGAAAATAAGCAGCATATCAAAGAGGATCCACTTAAAATCGAAGACGAGGTGGTAGATGAGAAGCCAGCAATCAAACCCGTAAGATCGGCAGCTAAAACAAAGTCGCCAGTCAAAGAGGAACCCAAACCTGAGCCAAAGGAGGAGAAGGAGAAGGAGAAGTCCAAAAGTGAGCCCCTCACCAAGCAGGAACCCAAAACCGAAGAGGAATCTAAAGCCGAGGAGGCATCTAAAGAGTCGACGGAAAAACCAAAGACTTCAGAGCCTAAAGAGCTGCCCAAGCCGGTGACAACGCCTGGAGTAGGACGTGGGCGAGGTCCGCGTAAAAAACGTGAGGTGGA